TCCACTGTAACCATGTGTGACCAAAAGGCAGTGATCAAAAATGCTGCTGACATGTAGGAGGAGATGCAACAGGACTCCGTGGAATGTGCTACTCAAGCACTGAAGAAATATAACACAGAGAAGGACATTGTGGCCCATGTTATGAAGGAATCTGACAAGAAGTACAACCCCACCTGGCACTGCATTGTGGGAAGGAACTTCGGTAGTTATGTGACACAAACACTTCATCTACTTCTATCTGGGCCAAGTGGCCATTCTTCTGTTTAAATCTGATTAAAAGCATGGATAGTACCCACACACCCAGTGATCCACCCAAAAATAAGATTGCAGCCTTAATTCTAAATACCAGAGACTGAAATCTTCAACCTTGATCTTGAACCTTTTATTGTGTTAGTGGTGTTTTTTTTAAGTGCTTTTTTTTTTATTATTGATTTTAGAGAGAGAAGGAGAGGGAGAGAAACATCAGATGCCTCCTGCATGTCCCCTACTGGAGATTGAGTGCACAATCCAGACATGTGCCCTGACCTGGACAGAACTGTGACCTACTGGGCTCATGGGTTGACCCTCAACCACTGAGCAATACCAGTTGGGCCCAAAGCATCTAAACAGAATGTTTATGTAATCTTTTGAGTGGCAAACTGAGGGATAAACAGAATTATGATTTATCCAAATGTAGCTCAGCTAGGGCGTTGTCTAAATGGAGGTTCCAAAAGAAAACGAAAAATTTGAGTAACCTACTGTTTTTAGCAAGCCAAACGCTCTCCAGTGTATTAAAAACTCTGTAAGCCCTGGCCAATGTGGCTCAGTTGGTTAGGCATTGTCCTGTGCACCGATAGGTCGCTGGTTCGATTCCCGGTCTGGGCACATACCCAGGTTGCGGGTTCGAGTATGAGAGGCAATCGATTGATGTTTCTCTCTCACACGGAAGCAACTGATAGTGCCCTAACCCATGGAATTGAACCAGTGACCTCCGGGTGCACGGGAAAAATGAGCCACACCAGCCAGGGCATTTATTGTGTTGTTTTGTACAGGGCGTTCTCTGTACTCATTTGTTGTGGCTATAAAACAATTAGCCAAAAAAAAAAAAAAAGATGAGAGGAAATTTTTGTGATCTTGAGTTAAGCAAAGAGTTCTTAGCTACGACATGATTCACAAGAGAAAAAAAGGCAAACTGAACTTAATTAAAATTTTAAAACTCTGCTCTGTGAAAGATGCTACAACAGACCACAGACCGTGAGAAAACATCTGCAAATCACTTATCTAATAAAGGTCTCATACCTAGAATGTAAAAAGAATTCTCACAACTCAATAATAAGAAAACAACCCTGTAAATGAATGGGCACAAGACTAATACAGATACTTCACTAAAGAAATATATAGATGGCAAATCAGCACATGAAAAGAGGCTGAATATCCTTAGTTATTAAGGAAATGTTGGTTTTATGGAGGTACCAATACACACATATTGGAATGGCTAAAAACAATACTTTCAAAACCTGACAATATCAAATGCTGATAAGCACACAGAGCAACTGGAGCTTTCATTCTTGCTATGAAAATTCTAACTGGTGTAGCCATTTTGGGGAAAAATTGGGGTTTTTAAATATAAAATTACATGTACACTTACCCTACAACTCAGCAATCCCACTCCTAAGTGTTTACCTAAGAGAAATAAAAACTTGTTTATACAGAAATCTATACACAAATGTTTGCAGTAGCTTCATTCAGTCAACAAAAACTATAAACAATTCCAATGTCCCAAACTAGTGAATGAAGAAACAAATTATGATACATCCATACAATGAGATACTACTCAGCAATAAAAAGGTACAAACTACTGACACATGCAACAACATAGATGAATTCCACATGCATTATTCTAAGTGAAAGTAGTCAGACTCAAAAAGCTATACTTTTTTATTCCATTTGTATGACTTTCTGGGGGAAAACTACAGGGACAGAAAACAGATCCGTGGATACCATGGTTGGGGGAGAGGTTGACTATAAAATATAGCATGAGGGAGTATTTGGAGTAAATGGATAATTTAAATTATAATGGTGGTAGTTACACAAGTGTATGCATTTGCCTCATAGAACTGAACACCAAAAGGAATGAAATTCACTGTGTGTAAAAAAAACAACTGTTTAAAAACAAAAACCCTATACTCCCCCCTCCACCACCACTACTACTATTGTGAAAGTCACTGATTTCAGGTTGGCATAACAGATGTGGGTGATATAAATACATTACCATTTTTCCTTATTTAAAAAAGGTAGCATATTTTGTACATTGCTCTGCTCCATGCTTCCTTTTAGAGAACTGTTTCAATCATATAGAAAAATAGATGTTTTTATAACAAACACCTAAGCAAATCTTCACATTTTGCCTTATTTTCTTACAACTCTTTGGAAGAAATAAAATATCAGAGCTATGTTTTAAGCCCCAATGTATCCCTCCTTTCACCCATTCCTTTTCCTCTCTCCTCAGAATTGCATTGCCCTGTGTATGTGTGGTGCTCGCTTCGGCAGCACATATACTAAAGCTGGAACGACACAGAGAAGATTACCATGGCCCCTGCACAAGGATGACGTGCAAATTCGTGAAGCGTTCCATATTAAGGAACAAAACAAAACATGAAAAACTACGTATGTATGAACCCTTAAATGGTATATAGTGTTGTCTGTCTTATTTAAAAATTTTATATACATGGTATCAAGCTGTATATAACCTTCTGCAACTTAACATTTTGTTTTATCCATGTGGATACCTGTAACTATTCACTGTAACTGTTTTGTAGTATTTTATATTATGAATATATCACAATTGATTTGCCCACTCTATTATTATTATTTTTAAATTTATCTTATTATTTATCTGTTTTGTGTGTGTGTGTTTTTAAATCCTCACGCGAGGGTATTTTTCCATTGATTTTTAGAGAGAGTGGAAGAGAGAGGGAAAGACAGAGGGAACTATCAGGAAGGGTCGTCACCCTCCAGCCTGTCACCTCCCTAGTAAAAGGTGATCTTTGCATGAAGCAAGTCCGGGCCGTTGTTTTTGCGCATCAAGGTGAACACACTTTTGAAAAGCCTCTTTTCCCTTCTCCTGGGAAGCACAACCACCTTGAAGAGCGCACCGGACCCTGGCACAGAGGTCAGCTGCTTAGCGCATGCATCCTCCTGATAACCCAACACTGCGGGCTTGGCTTCTGGGCAGGGCACGTGCAAGAAGCAAGCAATGAACGCCTAAAGAAGTGGAACTAATCAATGTTTTTCTTCTCTCCTTTCCTCTCTTTGTCTAGAATCAATAAATGAAAGGGGGGAGAAAAGGAGGGACCCCGATCACATAACCTTGTTAACTATCTCCTACCAGTGATGGCGATCCTATGACACGCGTGTCAGAGGTGACACACGAACTCATTTTTTTGGTTGATTTTTCTTTGTTAAATGGCATTTAAATATATAAAATAAACGTCAAAAATATAAATCTTTGTTTTACTATGGTTGCAAATATCAAAAAATTTCTATATGTGACACGGACCAGAGTTAAGTTAGGGTTTTTCAAAATGCTGACACGCTGAGCTCAAAATA